GTACATCAGTCATTGTCTCTTCAAACTCTTGAAGAAGGGTGCCAACTTTGTCGTGCTGATCTTGGGTCAAGTGTGGACTAATTTGTACATCTTCGATGCTCTCCGACTGGGTGAGGGATGGAAGCTGGATTAGATCCCTGCGCACAGCTGATGTCTCTTCCAAATCATCTTCTTCCTCCTCATCCATGGTATCATCGACGACTGATGTACACACCACATCCAAGATGCCAACATGCTCTTCCCTTCTGAAGAATTTCTTAAGGAGATTGGCATGGAAAGTTTTGAATTTTCCACCCATGTCCAGCTTGTAGTCCATCTTTCCTATCTTCTCTGTTACCTTGAATGGTCCCCGCCATTGCATTAACAACTTATTGTTGTCAGTTGGTAGAAGAAGGAGAACTTCATCGCCGATCTCAAATCTCCTCATCTTCGCCTTCTTGTTGTACTGCTTTCGGTATCGCTCCGCGGCCTTGCCCAAATTCTCCTGAGCTACTTTGCAGGTTGCTTCTAGCCGATCTTTGAGGTCCAAGACATACTGATACGTAGTCTTCGTCTCGGCTTCAACTGCATCTCCTGTCCAAAGCTCGTGAAGAATTGCAAGTGGACCACGAACTGCACGACCGTACAACAGTTCGAAAGACGAGAATCCGGTACTCTCTTGAATCGATTCCCTGTAAGCGAAAAGAAGAGGGTTAATGTAACGGTCCCAGTCTTTGGGTCGTTCCTCACACATTTTCTTTAGCATCGATTTCAAAGTCCCGTTGAATCTCTCCACTAATCCATTACACGCTGGGTGATATGGGGTTGTGGTCATCTGGCGGATCGAAAGGAGTCTACTAACTTCCTTCATTAAGCCCGAAGTGAACTGTCCGCCATTGTCCGTCAGAACTTCACGTGGAACACCAACTCGTGAGTAGATGTCCACTAAGGCTTCTGCTACTGTCTGGGTATCTATCCTTCGAAGTGCCACTGCCTCTGGATATCTGGTAGCATAATCCATGACAGTCAAGATAAATCTGTTCCCTTTACTGGTAGCAGGTTCAATGGGTCCAACTAAGTCCATTGCAACTCTACGAAAAGGCTCGTCAATCAGAGGGGTTGAACCAAGCGGAACCTTACTGACCTTACCCTTGGGCATAGTCCGCTGACATGGTTCACATGACCTGCAGTGACGATTAACATCCGCATGCATTCCTGGCCAGAAGAAATGCATAAGTATCTTGTCACTTGTCTTCTTCAAACCCAGGTGTCCACCTAGGATAGACTCATGAGCGAGTCTCATTACCTGTCCTCTCAACTTAGCAGGCACCACTATTTGCAAGATATTGTCCGCTCCAGGTTTCAAGTCTACGTATTCTCTGTACAGCACTCCCTTGTTGTAGAGAAAACGAGAAGAGTTTCCTTGCCGACTTATCTTCTTTTCTCCGTTATCTGCATACTTCCTCGACTTGGACAACGATTCATCTTCAGCCTGGGCTTCGATCAAGTCTTTGGCAGTCACAATATCATCGAATGGCTTGGGTACACAAAGGGGTGGCTTGGTGCGTGTCGCTTGCCTCTTCTGTCCCCTTGTTTCCACTGCATTCGCCTGATGACGTTGTGGTGTCCAGTCAGGATCAGGGTCATCCGCTTTCCTAACACCAGGCGCTTGTCCAAGTACTAAGTCGTATAATGGGTTCTTAACACACAGGGCTGTCACTTCACCTGTGTAGTATGGTGTATCAATCTGTAAACGTGCAACTTGAAAAGATCTCAGAGTTCTATCAATAAGAAGACACAGTTTCTCTTCTTTACACAATTGATCTTCTCTCACCAAATCTCGTCGCACTATCACCGTGGTACAACCTGTGTCTCGTAGCATCTCCACCGATTCACCATTCACGAGGCCCTCACATACTATCATATCGTCTTGCTGTATTCCACATGCTGCTGCAGACAGTAGTGGCAAGATGCCTCCTCCTACCAGCTTAACACCCATTCCATCTTCGGTGAGGCTCCCCTCTAAGATTGCTGATTTGCTAACCATAAGACACATACCTCCGGTCTCGACGTTAACTGTTCCTGTCTCAGCTGGTTCGCTGACGGGTTCGCTAACAGTCATGCTTGCTCCTTTCTCTAGTCTCTTCTTCTGGGGCAGTCCCAAGAAAGATGTCCAACTTTCTTGCAATTGTAGCAGGTCTTCTCTTTCCTTGGGCTTGACTCCGATGTTGTCTTGCCGCCGAAAGACTGTCTCTCCTGTCCACGACTCTTTGAAGTGCTCCCATCAGATGTCTGGGTTCCAGTAAACGGTTTATCTCTCATCCTGCGTAACCGTGGGTCATTGTGAGCATCTCTATACTGATCTGCAAGGGTTAAAAGATTCTGCAAACTTGAAGGTTGACGTTCCTTAATGAACATTAACAAATCTTTATTGCTTGTATCTAACACTTGTTCCTGCAGTATGAGACTCTTGACTCCATCTATACTATTATCATAAGGACTAAGTTCAAGCCATCTATCAAAGTATTTTTCAATCCTAGATGCGAACTGAACATAAGTTTCTCCCGATTGGATTTTTGCATGCCAAAACTTCAATCTATAACCTCCCTCGGTTAAATCATAACCCTTCAATAAGGCGGACTTTACTGCACTATAATTCTTAGCCTCAGAGACTGTAAGTCGTGAATAATCTGAAGTGCTTTCCCTGTTAACAAAGCAGACAATGCTAAAGCCCAATCATCAGTGTTCCATGCTACACTAGAGGCATGTCTTTCAAAACGACATAAATAGCTATCAATATCATCCTTCCCATCCTGAAAAGGTGGGATAGGTGGAATCTTGACTTTAGGATTTGAATGCGGAGTACTTCCTCTATCTTTCCCAAGCTCCTCTAATCTAATCTGTTGTGCCAGTAACTCTGACTCTTGCCTCCTAGCTTCTGATTCTAGTTTCTTAGATTCTGTTTCAAACCTGTTTGCTTCAACTGCAGAAGCTCTAGCTTCAGTCCTTTCATCTCTTGCTTCGTTCACACAATCATCCACATACACCTTCAGATCATTCCCACTCAAGCCAAAAACTTTCCCCTGTTCTATGAATTTCTCTCTATCCATACTAACAATTTGCAGCGCACTTACCAACCTATTAAACAGGCGTAAAAAGTATCACGGGCACAGGCTTTAGGTGAAAACTCCTCTCAGCTCCAGTAACCCTAGCAATGCAATGTTCCTATATAAAGGGAATAAAAATGAAAATACAAACAAGTTAATTCAGTTTGCAATTCCTACATTCCATACCAACTTCTATACAATTTTAACTGATTCTATTAAAAAGAGAGAGTCCCTTCGTGGTCGCCAATTTGTCAGATTAATGCCCTGTTTGGCAATATCTGGCTGATAGAAGCTGTTCTGTTTACTATAGATATGTTGGTTAGGAATTCACACAACAATAATTACACAAATTCAATGCATTATGTAGATATTTAAATCTTGAGAGTATGATTTATTAATCACATTTCTTCATCTATTCTTCTTCACTCACTGTATTCAGAATGAGTATTACATATATCTGATATAAAGTTGAAATGCCAATATGATGAATATATTTCAGTCATATGCATTAACTATACTTGTTCACATGTAAATGATTCACTCAGTCTGAGTTATTTAAATGATTTTACAAGTAATTCACTAATTTCCGTAAGGAAACCCAATACCCCTTTTTGGTAAAGCAGTACTGCATGTGTAAAACCGTACAAAACCTTGAGCTCAAGTACGTAAACTGTGCCTCTTAGAAATATCTAAAAACTCAAATACTACGAGTTTTATCACAGAATAATTGATATGAATTAAATGTCCGCGACCGTTCTCAACCCTATGGAACGTTCTTACATTGTCTTCCTGTGCTCCAGGTGTGTCTCATGTAGACAAACGCACGAACTTGAAGAACCCTGGCTGTTTGAGTATAGTCGCTGTTCCGAAGCTTGTCGTTTCTGACGTATTCGGCGTTGAAGTATGATGTAGCTCGTCTAGTAGACGAAAAGTCTCATCTCAGAGGTTAGAGAAGATCTGTTTTGGAAGATCTGTCCTTGAAGATCTCTTGTGGAGTTGAACCGTAATGAAACTGGAATGGAATCCGAATGGACCCGGAATGGGACCTAAACTGGAACCTCAAAGTGGAACCCAGCTGCCTGACTGTGGTGTCAGAGACATGATGTGGAGCTGTTGAGAAGTTTTCTCCTGGCCTGTGCTGCCCGAATTTAAGGGTAGATGCCAACCAAAGTAAGTAGCTACATGCTGCACATCTCAACTCCTCACACACCCACTCAGCATACAGGTCCTGTCTTGACCAATGCTTAAGTTGCTCTGCCCAGCCCAAACTATGCCTGAACAGCAGCACACATGCACACAGCACACAAGCACACATACATAGCTCTCCCATTGAGAAAAGGTACTGTAGCTAGGGATTCTATTGTGTTCCAGATGCCTATCTCCTAGTCTAAAAACCAGTCACTATCTTCTAGTCTTAAATTACCAGTCACTTTGTGACATATATATCACTTATGTCTGGCACGTTGCCACTCCTGGCGATATTTATTATCACCCTAGCTTTAGCATGGCTGCCATAAAGTGCTCAAGCATTTTAAGGAATTCTTTTATGCCAGGTACCCGTTTACCTCACCTGGGTGGAGTGTGGCAAATTAATGACTTGCTAAAGGACTTTAGCGTTGCGACAAGGATTCAAACCCTGTACCTTGCGGTTTACAGTCTGAAGACTTACATGTATCATGTACATGTATGCACTAGCTCAACACCTCCACAAAAAATATCACATGTGTAGATCTAATTGACACAGTTGTTGTCTTGCTCAGGGGCAGGATTTATGAAACAAAGTGTGAAGGGGAGCATAATTCTGGCAAAAACATCTGACAAGAGAGAAAAAAAGATTACAGGTGCTTTTGGGTAATAAGTTTAAAGGGGATGCCCCCCCCCCCACCCCTACCCCTAAATGTGGTGCCCACTAACCTGGTTGTTGTCCATACTGTCCCGGGTTATATCCCTGGGGTGGAGCCTGGGGTGGAGCCTGTGGTCGATAGCCTTGGGGAGCTTGCTGTGGGAAACCTTGCTGTGGCTGGCCAGGATAGCCCTGGTGAGGAGGTTGCTGGCCGGCAGGAGGTGGGGCTTGCCCCGGGTACCCTTGTCCTGGTGCTGGAGCTCCAGTAGGAGGAGGTCCATACACCCCAGCATACTGCGCTAAAGGGTTCTTTGAAAGGAAGGTTAAACACAAACTTTTAGTCCTGGGGCTGTATTCTGAAAACAATGCTTAATTTTATCTCAGGTAAAACAATGATAATTGTCATAAGAAACTCATATTGTGTGAAACTAACACTTGTCATTGGTAGTTGTTTTTATGCCGTCAGAAAGCAAGTTTCATCTGAGAGAGATTTGGGATTGGCCATTAATAATAATTACTTGAATTTTGAAGAAGTAAAGCAGACAAAGATCAACAGCCTAATAAATTTAATCAGCTAGACCTTTGTTTTTTTAGATAAAATTTTTTCTAAATGCTTTGTATAAATCACTTTTTCACCTTCAACTAGATAAGAGAGTATAAAATCTCATAAATGCTGTGTAATTAGACACACATATACATGTGAGCCCTAGGAAAACGTTAAAAGAAGATGGAATAGACACATAGAGCGATATCGCTTCGAGACTTTGGTGGAAAGTGCTATAAGCACCGTTTTATTAATATCATTATTATCAATCCTTTTTACATTGGTAGGTATGTAAAGCCTGAAAAAGTCTTCTTTTGATGTTATTAATTCCCAGAAGAGAGGGTACAAAACACAGTTTAAAAGTACTTATGCTTTGGATAGATGCGGATGAATTATTAAGAACTCTTATGATTATTATTATTATTAATGATGACCATGAATGTCAAATACCAGAAAAGACCAGTAGTAGTCTGTAGTCATGCACTGATCATGGCAGCGTTACTGTACTTTGAGTGTGATAAAAAATGGTAAGACAACCTCCGTAGAATATCAGAACTCTTAAACACCACTGAGTACTGGGTAAAGGAGGGGGTTTTCGGCCAAAATCCTATTTTTTGGACCCTTTACTTCCTATTTATTATCATTTCTTGTTCAAATCATGAAGCAAATATTATTATTATTTAAACAAAAAAAGAATCCCAGAAAAAAATCACAAATTGCCATGACAATATTCATTTCAATTTTCACTGTTTCAGAGTCGGTTATCGGCATAGCGAACCAGTTTTCGGCCGCATGTACAAAGTCAATAGGAATGCGCGCTGTGCGTTTCCGCGCTGATCTATAGTACTAGCGGGCGGAGCAGGTATCCCACGCCGGAGCTCCCCGGAGCTCGCCAGGCCAAAAACTAGTACTGCAGTGATCGGACATTGGAATCTGAATTAGACAGAGATATCGTGTGTGCGATGCGGTGTCCGGCTGCATTGAAATAAAGCTCATTTTATGGTACCCATATTTCTTACAGACACGCGTAAGATACTCGATTTTTCAGATTTGGGTAGCGGGACCGCCGATTACATCACTAAAATGTGGTATTTTAGGATATATTTTTCATTGCAAATGTGGTTTTTCAGTGACTCTGGCATGGTATGGTATGTGTGGGATATGTGATATGCTATTATGCGATGTATTTTAAAGGGATTTTACCATGCATCCAACCAATCGGCCGAAAACTGAAGCTGGTCGATTACCCCCTCCTTTATTCTAGGTCTAGAGTAGTGGCTCTGGTGTGCGGCCGATCGGCGGGAACTGCCGATTCTATTTTTATGCAAATACTCACAGAATACTTCAACCCTCAATATAGAGTCCATATACTTACTTATTAAATAGAAGTCACAAATAACCTAACTGACCCACAGCGTGGTCAGCATTGACCACGTTTCGAAATGCTTCGAGTTCCCCGGTTTGCGGGCACGCATTACCCGGTTTGCGGCACACGTACGTCACAAAGCTTTATGCGCTACGTCACGATCAAAGCATGTACCAAATTACTACGGGTAACCCAAATTCTCATGTTTATCTGTTGCTACGGTAAATTTGTCAAGTTTTAAACAAGTTCACCTTTTCCTAGAATGGATCATCATCATCATCCCATACGGGGGTATGTACTACTAGAAACTAACGGGTCATAGCGGGTACACACATCAGCACACATACCATCATACACGATCCCGCATGTTACGTGTGTATTAACACCCTCGGCCGCAAACCAGAAAAACACGCATTTACGTGCCGGTTTGCGGCCACCCCATGCAACTGGCCATGCGGTGGCACAATCAAAATATCTGCGATAGGAGACAGACCACAGCCATCATACTTCCACAAAAACATCAAATTTCACCTTCAATCGGATAAATATCGGACAAATAGAGCTACAATAATGATCTAGTCATGCCTCGATCTCTTAACTTAAAAGTTATTTCATCGGCGACTGGTGCCGTAGATTTCCGACATCGCTGACCGACAGGAGCATCACTCCAGCAAAGCATAGAGAGTCAATGCTAAAGCGTATTGACCTCTAGCACTGCATACATGCTGTGAGGCAGGGACCTAGAAGTCTATACACAAATATACACACCACACAATATCGCATAGACTGTACACAATCATGTCGATGCAGCTGTAAGCAAAGTTTGACACTAGACTTACAATTTGAATTTTTAAATTATTCTTTTTAACATCAGTAAGTTGAAAAAAATGTATTTTACTGCTATTTAGGTGTCATCAATTGTCACTAAAGTACCAATTTTGAGTGAAATCAGTTGAGTTTTGTACAGTGAAGTTTGAAATGTTGAGAATCAAAAGCACAGCTTTTACTACACAGCCAGGAAACTGATGCTCCTATGTGTGAGGAGCATCTGCTACGGACGTTTTCGGCAAAGCAGAACTTACCGGGGAATCCACGGTAGGTTTCAATAATTATTATCGAGTCATATTTATTTTATTTTGAAGAACGATACCCCTGGCCGCAAACCGGGCTATGCCGCAAACTGGAGACTCTACTCTACATGTACAATATGATTTTTAAATTATTCTTTTTAAATTTGGTAAGTTAAATAAATTGTATTTTGCTGCTATTTAGATGTCATCAATTGTCACTAAAGTACCGATTTTTAGTGGAATCAGTTGAGTTTTGTACAGTGGTGTTTGAAATATATAGCACATCTTTTAATACACAGCCAGGATAGTAATGCAGCTAGACTATGTGTGAACGAGCACTCGAATATCCCCTCAAAAATTAGGCACATTGTCATACGTCGAATCGAACGCATGGGACCATTCGAATTCAAATGCCACTGGTATCCTTTGGAATTTCTGTAGTATTTCCCGAAAAATATACGACAATTTGTGAATAAAAACTATTCAAAATATAGTAACAAAGATTAGACCACTTGAATATACATACCTGTCCTTGATTTCCACCTGGATAAGCCATGATTTTGTAATCTAAATGGAGGGAAAGCGTGAGAACGGTAAACTCTCAATCTCGATCTGTAATTGTGGAACCACGCCCACAATATAAACACATCGTAGAACCACGCCCATATTTTAACGCGTCGAAACTTCCTGCAGCGCTGGATGACGATTGGTCAAAAGTTTTAAAATCGTAACTGAATTTTCACTGAAAACAAGCAATCAAAGAAAATACGGAATACAAAAAAACAACAACAGTTATCAACTTTCTTTTTTTCTTTTTTTGGAGAGGGGGGGGGGGGGGTGAAACCTCAATTTGCTCCTGGGGGACACATTGCATGGAGAGGGAGGGAGCTCGGGTGGCATTTTCTTGTTAAACTTGATACACTGGTGATCACTGGCGTACTGGTGTGGGGGGGGGGGGGTGGAGGGGGGCGAGGCTTGGGGGGCAGTAATTGCCCCACTCCCAAAATAAAATTCAGACGTGGTTTATTTCTAATTCGATACAACCTATGCATGCTTACAAAATTTCCTAGGGTCCCTAGAGCGGCCGCATCTTTTTTTCTTTTTTCTGCCATCCTAGCGCTGCATATTAATATTTGAATATATGAATATTTGCGCTGGTACGGTGTGTGGTGAAGACCACAAAATAAATCGGCCAGATTCTGACTTCACCAGTACAGGTATGTCGCAATGATTATTGACAAGTTACGACCTGGGTAGTCATTCATTTACGGTAATCCTCCCGATTTCCTCGCAATTTCCAAGAGCGCCATTTATCTATCTCACATTATTTGTGTTCCCCTTTCTCTTCTTTTTTGATAATAATTATGATATCTCATGATGTACATGTATGAATTCCCTCATCACATATCATGTACATTTTTTATTTATTTTTTTTTTTTGGGGGGGGGGGGGCTTGTCTAACAAAGCATTAGTCGCCATTATTGTGACCAATTGTAAACAAAAAATGGATATAGAGGTCTCTCCTAATCAATGGCTCTGCTTTTTAACATAAACATACGCCCACTACGGTGACTAGGTAAAACGTAACCTTTAAAATGTTTGCTGTTGTAAATTATTTGGCTGTATTTGTTTCCTCTTCGAAGATCAACATTCGTTATGAAACCATTTATGTTTTCGCTTGTGAATAATCACAAGACTTGTTTTCTGTTTCTGATCAGTGTAATATTATACAAGTTTACCTCATTCACTGCACGACTGTGCAGGTGGAATGGGGGCACCATCGGTTTGTTGCCCCTTACTGACCGTCAGTTCCTACCTGATAATCAAAAATAGTTGCCTTCTAGTGTATTTCAATTTTGTTAAAATCACGCCCCCTCCACCAAACATTAAAAAAAATATCCTTGATCCGCCCTCTTCATGATGAGGATTGTGATGTTACTTCAGTTTGAATTTGTGTTACTTTTGTGCAGTGAAATGACATTTTAGAATGATCCGGAGTGCACGTATACAAATAATACGTGGCAGGGGGCTAGGGACTGCTGCACCTGCTCCCCTCAGTCCCGAACATTCTAAAAATACCAATATTCGCTCTACTCATTCAGTTATTCTAATGTCTTTAACTGTATATAGTTGTGATATAGGACCTATTATGGCTATGAAAAGTAACATCTAAAGGTTGTGGGCCACAACTTTCATGCCACAAGTTTGTGTAGTCCCATACTCACATAATGTATGTGTACAGTGCATGTGACTTTTAGGCAATATTATAGGCAACTTAATTAGCACGACTGATCCCTCACAGTATACAATTATGTGCTGGATGATCAACCTTTCCAATCGCTTCCACATAATTTCTTTCAAAGTGCAGTCGCATAACCAGAACTTAAGTTTGTATTTAAGTGTCTTCAGAAAAAAAAGTTACTATGAATTTTAATTTTCTTTGGTATCGAGCTAGTGCGAACCCCCAAGAAGCGGTAATTGTATTTATTCGCTATTGCGGCGCCTAATTTATTATCCGATTGACCCGCCGCGCTCTTTAGTTCTTTGCATTTGTCACTCTTTATAACTGTACAAAATAGACTTATGTCAATCAGTCGAACGGACTATGCCGAACGTGCAGCACAGAGGTAAATAGCCTAGCTGGTATTAAACTGACTAAGAACCAGGTAAGTCTATCTCATTCACTTTTGCCACTATCGTTGACATCAGGGGCGTAAATACGTACCGAGGAGTGGGGGGGGGGGGGGTGATCGGCGATATACACATACTAGCACGAGCACACGCCCACACTAATTTACGCAAGCGCGCGCGATCGCGCACGCACAAACACACACAACACACACACACACTTTTTTTTTTATTGATTCCAAACAATACAAATTAATTTTTTAGAAATAAGGTACAAACATAAGTTTACAAACTTAACTCCCAGAATGATTCCGGCATGATCAGGAGTGATAGACGGTAATATTTCGCAAGTAGATACAGCTTGTTCCAATTGATTTGAAATAAACCAATAGTCTAACCGACTTTGAACCAATGGCGTCTTTTGCCTAAACGTGTACTGTTTTAAATCCGGATTATTTTTCCTCCATACGTCGTACAATTCTAATTTTTTCAAAAACATCTCTAAATCCTTTACAAAGGTTGATCTAACTACTCTCGTAGCTCCCATGTAATCCACTTTTTCATCAAAAATAACATTAAAGTCTCCTCCTAGAATGATCGAATAATTCAAATAGTACAAAGTTGAAATACCAGAGTCTATTTTTTACAAGATGAATTTTTGTTGCTGAATATTTCCCCTTGTTGGGAAGTAAACATTCCCTATTAAGAGCCTCATTTCCCAAATCAAACCTTTTAATAAAATAAAACGACCATCCGCATCTTTGAATACCTCCTCCACTTTAACATCTACATTTTTCGCAAATAGAAGAAGAACTCCTCTACTGTGATTTGACCCATGACAAAGTACATTGGCCCTTCCCAATCCTTTCTTCACGCCAATTCGATAGCTGGTGTACTGTACGTTTCTTGCAACATTACTACAACCCCTTTCTTACTTTTAATCCAATTAAAAATAGCTAATCGTTTAGTCCTATCCCTTAAACCTCTAACATTTACCGAAATAAAATTGACACTATTCATTGATTTTCTTTTCTATCTATACACATACTTAAACCAAAATTGCAGTAAGAATTTGTTATCAATTGTAAAGTTTCCATGAAATTATGAACATCTATTGGCCTCAAATTAAAAACAAACGGCTTCATTTCATGCGCCCCAAGTTGTAACTCGTGAGTATAGGCAGGAACAGACCCCCCCCTCACGCACAGACATACCACAACACAGACAGCATACAAACACACTCACCCATAATAATACAATATCATTCATTTAACACAATTCTTCAGTACACCCTCCGACCCCGCTCATGGCTCTGAACTGAAAACCCAACCCACCCCTCCCCATGATAATGTACCTCATAATACATTATTCCTCCCGGGTTAACTTGTGTCTTCTTCTTTACCTTTCCCGCCAAATCCTTATTTCATATTGCTATTTTATTTTATTTGTATTATTCCCCCTGATACACCCTTACTTGTTCAAAGTGACCAGCGACTGAATAGAGAACAGAGAGATTGGAACACAACCAAGAAGAATCCTCATACCCAATCATATCCTGGAGATTCCCGCCCTTTCTGTTCAAATAATATTGAATCAAACCCTTAACTTCCATACAATTCAGTGTCATAAAACACTAATACAACAACAATTCGGACTCCAATTAGGGAGTTTACAGATACAATCTGCGCATGGGCAGATAAAGGTCATTTGTACCAAAATGGTAAATCCCACACAGATGAATACTTCATATGTGCTCACACACACACACACACACACACGTATCAGGACAATTAACCCCTGGAAAATCACGCCCCAGAAAATTCCTTCCTAGGACAGTTAACCCCGTGGACAGTTACCCCCCCCCCCCCCCCGCCCAGGGCAATTACCTCCCACCCCTGAAAATTACCCAATAAACAAAATCACGTGAAAATCACGTCAATATCAAGGTATCGACTTGAGGAGAGTTACGTTCTTCAAACACCGGACATTTACGTAAATATGTTAATACGTTTATTGCATTAGGTAACTTAAAACACACGTACACTAAATCACGCAATTGTCACTGCAATATCACCATTATAATAACGTGATTATCCCTACCTTGGAGACCATGGTTTGTAAACCTAATACTCCCGTGTTTGTTTGGTTATGAAATTACATCTTCATACACGAAATTATCGCGTCACAGAAACACGTGAAGCATTAGTGATAGTTTTAGTCAAAATATCTGCGTAAAATTCACGTGAATATCACGAGGCTGACTTGAGATGAATCATGTTCTTCATTCACGTGAAATTTACGTCGAAGAGGAAGTATGTTACTGTAACCCGCGTTCAACCCAATAATTACGCAAATGTTACACAATAAATGAACCAAAATAATGACGTTCTCATCCCGTTTCTGAACATCGTGTCTTGGATCTTCCATAATTACGTCCAGGCGCGCCGGAAGCAGTTTGGGATCAGAGGGGGTTGGGTGGGGGGGGGGGGGGGGGTGGGTGCAAACATCCCAGAAGAGAAAGCTAGTTGCAACTGGTCCAGTTGATGGACCATTTAATGCCAACTGGTAACCCTGGAAATTGAGATGGGCTAAATGATCCAGTTGATCCAGGCCAGTTATAATTCAACTGGTCTAGCTGAGCCATTAGAACCATTTGGTAAAACTTCCAACCAGTTGAACAGCAACAATACTTCAATACTGGTACGTCTGTATTTCCAATGTAAGGGCATTGGTAATAAGTAGACTTACATAATTGAATTAATCGAAAAAAATTCGTATACTTGTACTTTATTGAAATTATTTTAGTTCACAGTTAATGTTTCCCTTATTCATGTTTAACTAAATGTCATTTATACGAAGTAGCGAAATGTCCTAATAACTGGTTATTTATATTTGTAGTATTTTCGGAATGAACTGCATATAACTAAATCATCAGTAATTAAGAAATATGCTGTAAATTCAGATAAATTGTTTAAAAAACATAGATCTGCACGCACCCCATATTCAATATGCAAATGAATTGGTGTCAGCTGGGTCAACTCGAAATATGCCAACGCTCAGTCATCAACTGGTGCAACTGGAAATATGCACACTCCAGTTACCAACTGGTGCAATGAAAATATGCCAACAGTCAGTTATCAACTGGTGAACATAGAAATATGCCAACAGTCACGGGATTATCACCACGGAACTTAAATGGTAACTGTGAAACCATCAAGACAC